ATGTATATATTATTTTTTAGACAACTGAAATTTTACTTATTCTAAACGTTATTGTTAGTAATTATTAACCCCCGACGCAAACAAAAAGGTGTTATTTTTTCTTCTTGTTTCTGAGGTTCTAGCATGTGTTCTGTACTGCTGCATAATCCTTCACCATAGATTGCGTTCTAGAGGTTTTTATTTCACTTCTGTTTGTACCACGTACCTTATGGAAAACATCGTTAGAGACAGCAGCAGTCTCATAGTAAGCTAGCACTTAATGCTTAAAGCGACCTCTTATGTTAATAAACTATATAGGATAAATTGAACAGATAGACGCTGTCTACGAGTCCCAGTACTTTATACATTATTTGTCATAATTGTAATCATTCCTTGTATACAAAATGCAGAGCTGTGCTTAATAAAAAAAAGACAATTATGATAACACTGAAACTCTGGAAACAAAATTCACATATTATTTTTCTTTTCGTGTCTCTATTTGGATGTGATAGTGAAAATGTTGGTAACAATTGACCATATTTTTTATTATGCGGTCAAACTTATCATATGATAGGCCCCGTTTCACACTCACTCGTTCGTCACTTGTTGGTCACCTATTGTACTACTGTTGTAGATAAAATCACTGGGAGATTCCTAAGTCTGTTTATAGTTAAAGAGTTTGTTGTAAATTTGAAAATATTACTGATACTTTTTACTTTTACTATAATAATAGTGGCGCTTGAAATATTATCTCAAGTATTTTATAAAAACCTGAAATACGACAAGAAATTAAATCAATTATGTTTAGTGAAACAATCTCAATTCACGAATAAAACAATTACCAAAAGCAGACTATAATACCGTTGTTTTAGTCAAATTCAAACGTTTTTATTGTAACTCCTACACCCTATATCGCGTGGGGCGCGGCACAGGGGCGACGGGTAATGGCCTAAGAGTAATTTTATTACTTTGCCCCTATTACCATCACAATGTGCATGCCACCGGTCGAATGCGATACGCGGATACTCGATACTTTGCGTTGCGTTTCATCATTGTCAGCTGTTTTATCGATATCTAGTCGACAGCCGCCTCACAACACTATTTGATGCATACATTATACTTTCGGTATAATTCATTGTGTTCTTTGTTAAATGATATATTTATTGTAAATGGTTTGTTTATTTTTAGTAATTTATTATGATAATTTTAATAAAAAACATGCATTTATAAATATTAAGGTTTTCTTATCTTAACTTGTTTTTTTTTGTAGTCCACAAAATATAATCTTGTCCTATATACGTTTATCGTAATTCGATTTTTTATTTATTTACTGTCGGAGTACAGCACAAGGTAAGCAGAAATAAGACGAAGTGCACAGCCCGCTCTGCTGATTCGATTTGTTCCTGTTGCGATGAATATTTGATACGACTCAGTGCACACTAATTTGTTTATCGTGCTCCTGCTCGCCTGGTACACGTGGAACATTTTCAAAGTGAAATTCGCATTAATTATTCAGAAAAACAAAGGAAACCTTCCGCTGCATTCAACAACATCGATCCCGCTTTTTGTCTCGTTTTCTTAAACATTTTCGTATTTACACTGTCCCGAACGAAATTCTCGTACCGATGTCATAATGCTCTATGTAAAATTATTATACAGTAGCAGTACGAAATATACCGTCGTACATTTGCATGATACAATTATAACTTAAAACAAGGTTTGCTGTATACTGCTTTCGAGTAAGACTAGGTGTAGTAAAGTTCGATACATAATTAAAATAACTATGAATTCAGTTAATTTTGTCAAACACATGCAAGCACCCATCAAGTAATATCAGTGACAGCAGGTGTCCTGCCTAAAGCCGCGGATATCTATACATATGTTACGGATAATACCTGAAGAACTATTAAGCCTCAATTTACCCATCTTTTTTAATAAAATCCAAATAATAATTAAGATAACTATGATTTCTGTTACTTTTGCCAAAATACGATAGCACGAATTAAATAATATCAGCGACATACATTACCCAAAATGCCGGGTAAACCTAGGTTTACTAAGTTAACAATAATATGGAATGTTGTGATGTTTTTGTGACGCACTTGAGCCTAAACTAGGGAATCTGTGTATTTTAAAACTCCCAGGAGTTTGTTGGAATTTGCAGAATAAAGTAAGAGTAGTGGGTCAACATACACACACATGACATTGAGCACTCAAGCAAGAAATTAAGAAATAACGACCGGAGTTGATCAATAAATATTTTCTATACCACAGGGTAGTGTTAGGTTAACATCAAGAGAGGTCTGTCAAAACTACTTGTCGCATTTTATTGATCAAAAATCCCAAGTATGTGTGTGTGTATGAGTTTGGGCGCGCCCTTGTCCCTTGTCTTTAACCGTTAATATTATAGTGAAAAATAACTATTTCTATGACATTTTCACCTATACATATACACATCAGTTACGTCACCGTAAAGTTTAACGCGTCGGTCGTGACGTGAATGACTTGCGGTACCGATATCGTCGATTTCTGTCAAACTATAGCAATCCACCGGATGGTAAGTGACCAGCGATCCTAGGACACCTGCTACCAAATTCAAACAATGAAGGTCACAGATGCGTCATCTCTGAGGACTAAGATGAAATGCCTTACAGACTGTATTTATCCTGACTCTTCTTATTCTTAGACCTAGGGTAGCCAGATCGTCGGAGTTCGTCTGGATTCTCCCGACATTTCAAATGATCTCCAGACTCCCGACAAAACTCAAAATCTCCAGACAAACAGTTTCTCGGAATGTTTTCATATGGCCTTTGATTTAATAACAGCTGAGTTAGTAATAAAACTGAGCTTTGAAGTAAATTGTTTGAATTTCATCAAATCTCTCAAATCTTTTCCGAACACTTCTAAAGGACTCAAATTGGTGGACTCAGTAAATTCCAATGCCAAATACACGTACCAATTTAAAAATTGAGTGCACTTAAATTAATTTTGTTTTAAGGACTTTCTGTGGCCTCCTTCAAAAAATCATTTTATTTTTAATATTTATTTCTGCCGACAAAAACCCCAAAATTTTCAAAATTTGTCCACATATTTTGGTCTTCCGATCTGGCAAACCTACTTAGACCGGATAACAGCAGTGCACACACTGCTATTTAACGACAGAAATAGGTAAGAGAGTACTACCTATCCAGACAGATTCCTAGGAGTCCTACCACCTGGTAAAAAAAACTGTCTGATGTATGTATGTGCATGAACCCTTAAAGTAACGGATTAAAAATTGTACGCGAAAGTAACGGCACATCACCGTCAAATCTGCGCAAAACGAACCAGGCACGTATAACTCGCGAGTCGCGACGTACCATGAATTAATTAAGTGTATACACTCAAGATACGAATCAGCGGTGTGGCAGGTGATTAAATAAATACTAGTTGGCATATCTAATTAATATGCCAGACGCACGGCTGATAAGCGAGCGTCTCGCGACATGACATCTCCTGTGATTCCTGTTAGCTTGGTACGATTAACACGTTATTGTAACTAGCTATGCGAAAATTTTTCTAGACTGTCCTAGTCTAGGCGAGATAATCTAGCACCATCTGAGATCAATTTAAATCTTTATGGTGATGTTGATTAACATATAACTTTATACCAGTGATAGGAAAATAGAAAGTAGATTTCCTCATCTCATTTAAACTAGTTTCTTGTCTATCATTTTCAAAGTAAGAATTTAAACGCAAGCCTTTTTAGGTCCTATCTGCAGATATTTGATACTACAACATAAGTCGTTTTATGAACGCTAAACTATATAAACTTTCAGATTTCTTAAGATTTTCTTAGAAACATTTAAATCATCAACGCTTTCGCGTCAAACGTAAAGGTATCCTCTATACGAAAAATGTATGGATATCAGCTGTGCAGGATTACACTGTTGAAGAAATAGTGTTTCTATTTTTTTTTCTCCTATTTAATTTTTTCATCTGTCTATCAAATTCCATAGGCTTTGCAATTGTATTACCAGACATCTCGCCCATCGCTCATCTAGCCCTCATCTCGATTACGAAGAGCGATCCTTTTGGCATTTTCCATAGTCTCTTCTTATGACACTCACGAGATGAAATAGACTGATGAATTCTCTTAAGAATCCAACACAGGGTAGGCAACCACACTGTGTATTCCTTCATTAGAGTTCTGTAAATATAGCAATGGTGCTGGGCTATATTTCTTAAATAGGATCAGACTAGAATTAACTTTTAACGAGTATCTCTAATTATAGTCTTTTGTTTGCCGCTTGACAACAGGGAAATAGTAAAAAATAGGTTACAGAGTTGTAATTACGCCGACGGACTTTAAGGCATAAAATTAGTATTTATAAAATACAGGTTGTGAGAGGCAAACTATTTTAGTCCTCTGAGATTACAACGCGTCTTTGTATGTAGGTAACCATAGGCTGATGAAGTCACTCACTATCAAGTGGACTGTAAGTTCCCATCTCATTAAAATTTTATAAAAAAGACAAGTGGTAACACCCTATTTTACCCCTCAGGGGTTGAATTTTCCGAAATCCTTTCTTAGTGGGTTCCTAAGTCGAGAAAGGAGTATAAATACTAAATATAAAGTCAATCACGCATAATATAGTTTTAGAAAAATAACCGGCCAAATTTGCAGAGAAGGTTCAGAATAAGTAATATAGGCAAATAGTGAAGAAAAATTATTTAAAAAATCTCAAACATTCTGTTCTTTATATCTTTTAAATTCAAAATGCATGGTAATGCATTGCTTTAACTGATTTTACTGCGCACGCACACATTCGTAAGGGTCGAACGGTAGGCAAAAACGTTGGTGCCCATAAATCACATTCAATTTGAAATAATTTTAAATAAAAGTAGAAGCATTATTTAGTTCGCGTTTTCAAAAACTGCAACAAATGTTTATCATTATTTATATGTTTGAAGTTAAGTTTAAAATTTGGCTACTTTTTGAAAAATATCTCTGTATATAGATATAAATGTCTTATTCGCAGGCGACGCGAGTAACGCGAGCATCGGGTCTGGTGAAGGCACGGGCGAGGAGGACGACGACACCAATGGCAAGAAAAACCAGAAGAAACGTGGCATCTTCCCCAAGGTCGCCACCAACATCCTCCGCGCGTGGCTGTTCCAGCACTTAACGGTGAGTACTGTAAGTTTACATTTGTCTAACGGTAGATTAACTATGATTAAAGTTATATACATAGATGACATAGCTGCCTTATGTAATGCTTTTATTAAGGTCTACAATAAAGTGTAAATAAATAAATATTAAGCTGAGGTGACAATGGGTCGGCTATGTAGCTCGAAGAACCGACAACAGATGGGGAAGAAAGGTTCTTGAGTAGCAACCTCGTACCGGTAGACAAAGTGTAGGGCGTGCCCCCACATAAAGTGACGACCTGGTGGTACATGCGGTCGATGCGGTGGTACAGGAGGTCGATGAATGCAGGTGGCTCAGGGCCGTGCTTTGTGGCATTCCTTGGGGTGGCCTATGTTCAGCAGTGGACTTGCGCTGCATGTTTGGCTATTATAAAGATGAACTTAGATTAACTGTGATAAGGTTTTATTTGATTAAAACTACTTTTACGGATTTTATCGCGTTTATTTTACTATTATTTTTAATTCCCGACGTTTCGGGCGCTATCCAGCACCCATGGTCACGGGGGACTGAGATGACTGACGTCCCGATGTCATTGTTAAACCCGGAGTACCTTCAGCTTTTTAATTATTGTTTATGGTCCGATCTATGCGAAATGAACCGACTATGTCCTGAGGTCTTGCAGTGGTATGCTTGGGTTTAGTTTTAATTTTATTGATTATAGGATCCCAAGCAGGTGGTAGTACCCAGCCTCCTTCTCTATTGAAATTAGGATGTTTTTTTTAACTTCAATAGCCTCACGTATCATCCTTGGTAGGAATCGGTGTTCTTTAGCAAGGATTTGTGGTCCATCAAATCTGATGTAATGGTTGGGGCCGTCTCTAGGATATGATCGCAAACTGCAGACTTCCCGGAACGTTGATGCTTCACATCAGCCATATGTTCTTTTACGCGGGTTCTAATTGATCTTTTTTGTTTGTCCTATATAAGAGAGACCACATTCACAATCAAGCTTGTACACTCCTGCATCTTGTAGAGGAATATGACACTTGACTGATGGTAGGAACTGGCTAATCTTCTTCGGCGGCTTGTAGAATTTTCTAATAGAAGCTCGCTTCAAGATGTAGCCAATCTTGTCTGTGACACCTCTGACATATGGTAGTACAGCAGGCACACAGTCGAGCGTGTTTTCGTCCGAACCAGTGTAAAAAATATAAAATTATTTTCAATTAGTATTATATAATCGATGTTAAATAAAGGTCATTCTATTAATTTTATAATCTTTTCGCCTCTCTCTTTGACACAATTTTTTTAGTTATGTACCTTTTTATTATTTTATAACTGAATCGTAAGGAAAATATGGATAAAACTGTTCATCAAAATAAACCCAACAGGAAGGAATCTTTTATACATATTGATAAACGCAACACGTACATATTTCCTTACCATAACTACTGTATCCCGGATGCGTTTTACATACATAAATTAACTGACACCCTGACGGTGTTTTATGGCATTCCTATAGTGAGGTATATGTTCGACAGTGGACATGTGAAGGCCTCCTCTGAAGCGGCTCCGTGATGCAGTGCCTTAGCAATGAGTTACAGAGCTGAGGGCCACGCGTTCGAATCCCGCAACACACAAGAAACTATGGAACAACTATTTGTATGGCCTACAAATAATTTTTCCGGGTCGCGATGTTTATGCAGATTGTGTTTGTAAACTGCCTTCATTTTACAGGAGAAACTCTTATTGGTTTCTTAATAAAAATGTTTTTAATCCAAACCAAACTTGTTTCAAGTGGGAATCGAAATCGCGACTAGTAACGCCGCATTAAATTGCTTAGTCATTGAATATCAAAGCTGTCAGAAATAGATCTAAAAAATATGCCAAATATTTCACTGTTGATTGAGAAGTGCCGTTTTTTACTTAATCATAGCATTTTATGTCATTGACTATGATTTAATCTTTATACATATATAAAAATTTATGTTTGTGTGTTCGTATTTCATGCGCTGCCTTGCCGTTCATCAGATTGCGGTAAAACTTTCTCAACATATTGCTTGTACTTCCGCGAAGGTTATAGGCATAGTTGGGCCCGATAGATGGCGCTGTTGTAGGATCCAGATATCACCTGCTATGTCTAGTACAATATATTTTGTTTAGATAGTTTCTATAATAGAGAAACACGGTCCGCCGGTGTATCGTTTTGCTCAAAGGTTTTTATAAAGTTGCCAAGTTTAATAATTGAAACTAATTTTTAATTTGGCAATAGTATCCACCGTTTTTTTCCTGTTTTGAAGCCATTTTCCTGGAAACAGCAATTATTACGCGTCGGCGTAAACTGTAAACCATTCGCGGCGGCCTATGACGCGAGAACGGCGCAGTTTAGGACAATTGTAGCGCCGTGTTGCCGAGTTTTCAATTAAAATTTCCCGACAGAGCAATAAATTTTTCATTGCGCACACAAAGACCCAGTTTCGAAAGGGAGCCAGCCACCTTTCCCAAACACAATGGTGACGCAATTAAACTCGTCCGTTCCTCTCGATGCGAGCTAGTTTTATCATTGTGATTGATGACGTAAAAAATAAACATTAGCATAAGACGTTAGCGGGGTGGCTGAGTCGCGGCTGACGAGTGCACGGCTTGCCGTTGAGTTGTAATTTCTAGAATGGCTTTCTGCGCCGGCGGGAATGGGGGGGGGGGAGAGCACGGGGGGGGCTGGGGGCGCAATTTCATTACCGGTCCGGATTCAGGGCCATAAATCACCAGGGCCGAAGAAGGCGCTCAGCTCCCGGCGTTCGGTTCAGGTGACGCGGAGTCTCCTGAGTCCGCTATTTCTGTTTCATTCACGTGCCGAATCCCGCTTTCTTTACGGCTACGAATTCCGCGAATTTTCCGCGAACGAGTTTTAATTGCTACAGAAAAGCATTCGCATCTCGGTGAAATATACAGCGGATTTATACTCGAATTTTCGAACGTCGTGTGTTTTTTTTTTAAACTTCGCAGTTTCATTTTTTTAGAATAGATAGCCGACGACAATCGAATTAGGAGGCTTTTAGCGCGCTCCGTTTCGCGTTTTTGTGCTACACTGTCCGCGCCAATCACCGCGCTCCAAATTACTTATAATTGCTTCGCTTAGCGTTAAGTGCTTTCATTACCGCCCCCGCCCCCCCCCTAGAAACGGTTCCGGTGCAGGACGTGTCATTTTAAAGCACCAATGTGCTGTTGAAGCAGTGCAAATCGAGTTTGTATTTCGCACAACGGCTTATGTCATGCGGCTGCAGGGGTGTGATTTTTTTTATAGAATGGGGTGACAAACGTGCACACAGTCCACGTGATGTTAAATGGATGCTGTAGCTTATAGGCATCTACATTTATCCTCGATTTTAAATCAAAATGCAGGTAGATTGTCATCCCTGAGGACTAAGATGGAATGCCTTGTTTCCTGTAAAAAAGGTCTTCGGTTCCCTACAGTTATCATACGTGTTAGCGACGACAAAATGAATTCGAACATTTAATCTTAATTATTTCTTATCAGTGATTTAAAACTAAGTGATAGTATTTAATCTTAATTGTTTCCTATGCGTAAAATAAAGCTAAGTGTAAAGACTGATTAGTGCTGAAAACAGGAAAGCAAATTAAACACTTCTATTCTTATCTTAAAGTAACTTATATGAATCTATTTAATATTATTTAGGTCTGATTAGAACATTAGACGCAAGTATAAGCTTATTTCTAGTAAGATTTCTTTTATCATAACTTTAAGAGCAATTAACATATAGGTGATTAATGTAATTCTTTTTACTTTAAAGTAATTCAAAAGAAACATTAATATGTCAATTAGTCACTATATAATGTCATTTCATTATGAGAAAGATTTAAATTTTATGTAAAATATTGTATAGATTCTTAAGCATTAATCCTGAAAAAAGTGTTGTACATTCCTACCTCTTGGCGGCGCTACTTGTATGTTCGGCAAAAAATACTATCCTACTCCGGAGCTAAACCGTGAAGCGACCGCGAAGCTATTTTTATTTTTTATAAGTGTAAAATAAAGGTTTATTGAATAATTTAGGTTTAGAATAATAGAAATAAGTTGTATCTATCGCTAGGAATAAATATAAATATTGTAAGATATGTTTTACCACGTTTATTAAGGAAATTGTAAAACTCTCTTAGAAAGGGTTATTCTGTGCTCTGATTGGTCAATAGATTCGCTAATGCCGTGTGCGATTTTTTCTTAATTACGATTGGTTACAGCCGCTTATAAAAAAAGGGGCGTTTTTCGTGGTAAAACATTCCAAATCCGGCAATGTAATAATAAGGAATCAAGAAATAAAAAAGAAGAAACTCTCAAGAAGTGTTATTTATTGCTCATCTAACTGCTACTGTATGCTCTCCAGTTAACATCCCGCCAGCAAACCCGCTCTATTTTATCGACGCTCCCTTATACGAGCAATTACAATTGGTCCTTCGAGAAGCCGGATCGGGTTTAAGGAAAACTAGGAAGATGCCTTCAAATACAAGATCAAAATCAGTGCAGTCGAAGACTACGAGTGAAAGCAACGCCACTACGGGTACCAGTACGACGGATTGGAGCATGAATACGCCGAGTGATTCTACAAACACGACGGCTACCAACACGTCGACTTCAGATCGATCGACGCTTACAAGAGCATCGCCCAGCAGTGTACACAGACAACCCGTACTCCTTAACAAGAACATTGCCGGAAAAGAATCAACACCGGGGGACGTAACCCATACCACCCCCCGACACGCACCGTCGAAGCGTCAGTTCCTCACCAAGAAGAAAGTCATCCAACGCCGCAGAATCAAGAAAGAAGTGTCGCAATGAAGACTCTGCAGCAGCCTCACCCTAAGAAGACGACCCGCGATCCAGACACGCTTTCCGTTCGCTCGTCGCATAGGAAGAGAGCAGAAGCGCAAGCAAAGATGACAATGGCATTAAGGGAACTAGAATTGGCAGAAGCGCGGTCAAAAGTTGCTCAAGCGGAATTAGAACTTCTCACCGCGGAATC